TGTTTATATATTAGCTTGAAATGCACAAATTATTACTGCAGTGAGAGCATTAGTTACAGACAGACCAAATTTCTACAACCTATTTGTGTCTAATAAGCCTTTTAATTCCATTAAACCATGAGGATCCGATGAACCCTCATCAGAGGTTTAACTGCAGTCTCATTTATTTAATATTTAAGCCAAAAATCCATTCAGAAGAAGAGTTTATAGTCAGACAGATTTTTGCATTCTTTAACAAGTTTCAGTATATTTCAAATGGCAAAATATCCATAAATGCTGAGGAAAATGTTGGGTTTGGAGTTTCATATTGGATATTTCACCGCAGGTGGACTATTAATGATGCTGTTGGACAATGTTCCTTTTGCAGGTAAGTATTGTATTTCTGCAGTGTTTTTTATGGTGACACATTGCTGCCACACACATTTTGTCCCACTCAATTATGTCATAATAACGATATGTTAAGTCATTAAAATGGCATCTTTTCTCATAATAACGAGATGTTAATGCCGTTAAAACAATATCTTTTTCTCATTAAAACGATATCTTTTCCTCGCAATAACGAGATGTTCTGTCGTTGAAACGATCAATTTTTCTCGTTAAAATGGCATCTTTTCTGGTAATAATGAGATTTTGTCTTTAAAACGATATCTCTTCCTTTTTTTTCTCCTAATAACAATATAATGTTATAAAAATTATTTGCTTTTCACATTATAGAAGATATATGGTTACATAATGTGAGCGAGCTAAGCGATTTTCCACACTGCTGTCGCCACAGTCCTGAGATAAACAAGGATCTGCATGCTGCTAAAGTTACTGCGGGAAGGGCAATAGAAATACAGTATTTTAAATGTATTTTAATGTTATTGTTTTTATTGTAGCAGCATGTTTACTAGGAAATTTAGAAAATCTCGTTATTAGGACATAATCGAGTGGAAAAAATATTATGTGTGTAGCAGTAAGACGTCACTGTAGTTTTTAATGCCACCCTTTTGATTTTACTTTTGTTTTACAATTTTTTTAAAGAAAGCATCGATATTCCATTGTTTCTCAGGCTCTGCTCCTCAGAAGAATTGTCAGTGTTTCCTGTCTTGTGATGAAGCGCATGAGCTGAAGAAACATGAGAGCGTTCATGTTCTTGTAGAACAGCATTCAGAAACAGTTCTTGATGAAATATTTACTGTCTCCAGTTTGTATGATGGAGGACGCTGTTCAGTGCCAGGTTGTTTTAAGAGGGACACGCGGTTCATGTTAAAAATATACGCCAATAATGTGCGAGTACCTAAGCTACTGTACGACAAAACGGATTTACAGCCTGGTAAGGTCTTAATTGAACTAACCAATGTTTTAAAGGATTAGTTACGTCAAAAAATGGCAGTTTTGTCATAGTTTTAGCCCCATCCCCATTCTGTTCCACTTAAGTTTTTTTTTTTT